CACATTCACATACATATTCACCTTCACACACTCGTGTACACTAACATGCACACACTCGAGCACACACACATATATACCCTCCCCACACGCACATACCCACACACTCACATTTACACACAAACACACAGAGGCTCACACACTCATACACACACTCTCACACACACACACAGAGGCTCATGTTAAATGACAGGAGAGAAAGCACCTCCCACCAGCCCCAGGGAGTGAGCCACATCCTCCGGTCAGCCGAGGATGTGAGCTGCCCAGCCTCTGCCAGAGAAGCACAGCCATCTGCCACGTAGCAGCTGTGCCCATCGCTCGGTGGGGCTGTGGAGCAGGATGGCAGGGGGGCAGGTACAAGCCATGCCCTGCACCTCAGCCTGTGGCTCCTCATCCTGCAGTGCTCAGAGGGGGGGGCACTGAACAGCTCAGCCTGCACCCGTGCATGTGTGCATGTGTGCATGGGTTGCATGCATTCTCTGTGTGTGTGCAGGTGTGCCTGCGTTCTGTGTATGTGTGTGTATGTGCACACGTGCTCATGTATGTGTCAAGGAATCTGCACATGCTTGAGTCTGCATACTCAACCATGTACATGCTTGTGGATGTTTATGTGCATGTCTGGGTGTCCATGTGAATGGGCACACATGTGTGCACTGTGCATATATGTGTTCATGTGTGCACACATGCTTGGGTGTGCCTATGGGTGAGCACAGGTATGTATGCACAAGCTAAGGGAACGTGTATGTTTGCACACATGTACATGTGTGTACATGCACGTGCGTGCTCATGCATCCACATGTGTACATGCATGCTTGTGTGTGAACGCAGTGGTTTGTGCATTATGTGTATGTGAATGCATTGTATGTGTGTGCATGTGTGTGCACACCTGTGTGCGTTGAGTGGTATGGCAGGTAACCACCAGTGAGTGGGTGAAGCAGTCAGAGCACCTGGCCCCAACAATCTCAGCCCCGAGGCACCAGGGAGCAGCAATGCGCCTCCCACTTGTCAACTAGGGAAAGCCGTCCTGGTCTGTCAGACAGTGCCAAGAGCAGTGGCTCTCTAGCTTTCTAATGCCACGGCCCTTTAACATAGTTCCTCATGTTGTGGGGACTCCCCAACATAAAATTGTTTTCATTGCTACTTCCTAACTAATTTTGCTACTGTTATGACTCATCATGCAAATATCTGAATATGCAGGATGTATTTTCATTGTTACAAATTGAACATAAAGCATAGCGATTAATCACAAAACAATATGTAATTAATTACATATTGAAAAATATTTATTTCTAATGACAAATACGGTCAATGAAATTTTGCCTTGAAGCATGGTGTAGTATGGGTAAGTCTTCACGCCGGGTACTTGTATGTGGGCGTATCTGCATGTGGGCCGACTCGCCTGGAGGTGATAGAAGAGCGATGTCCGGTTCCTCGGAAAACATGTTTTCCGATGGTCTTAGGCAACCCCTGTGAAAAAGGTTGTCCTACCCCCAAAAGGGTCGCAACCCACAGGTTGAGACCCACTGGCCAAGAGCAATGCTCAGCTCGGAATTTCACAAGTGCAGATGGGTGGGAAGCTAGTTGGGGTTCATCTTTCACTCTGGCATCAGGAGCTGGCCGGGTTCAGTTAAGACAGTATTCAGTGCACGGCCACCTATAGAGCCCCTGCCAGGGCTGTAAACCGGCCGCTGTCAGGCCAATCCCGATGCCGATCCCAGGGGACTCCTGTCCGTCAGGGTAGAACTGTGCTCCACAAGGCTCCCAGGGGCTGATGGTTAGCAAGGGGATGCTTCTGGGGGGACTGGAACCCCCAGGCTTTCGGCTAGCAATAGCTGTTTGCACCGCCCTGGGTCTTCCTCCACTGAAGACAGAGCAGAAAGGTTCATCGTCTAGGAAGGTCCGTGAGGAAGGCAAGGTGGCAGCCACTGTGGGCACAGCTGGGGGCGGGGGGGCTTTGCTAGTGGAGTTGCCACCCCCCACCCCCACCCCCCGAGCGAAACCCAGTGCCCTGGAGATTCCTACTGAGTGACCTTGCAGACAGCAGGGCTGTCTCAAGGGGTTTCCTGGGTTATAAATCTTCATGGGTGTGGCAGCCTGGTCTCTCTCTCCCAGGGAGTGGCTGGTGGGCTAGCACCACTGACCTTGCTGCTAGCAGCCAGAGGAGCAGCCCGGTAAGCACTGGCTAAACTGTGTTTACTGGTGGTGGAGAGCCCTGGTGACCCAGGGGTTAAGCACCCACCTGCTCGTGGGCAGGTGGAGGGTTTGCACCCACCACCCATAGCCTTGTATAAGGGGCTGTTCTTCTCGGCCCTACAGAGTGGGAAGGGCAGGTCTGATGTGGGGCCTTTCGCTGATGTGAGGCAGACAGGTGAAACCATCCGCTACAGATTGGCGGGAAAGCACCCTTGGGCAAGGACGTGCCTTACTCAGCAATCATCCAGAGGGGTCCTGGTGGAGGGTCTCCTAGATCACCAGTTTGCCCACCTCGGACGTGGGGCGCGAGCCTGGCCAGCAGGCTCCCCTGGCCACCGCGCCCCTCCCCCTTCTGCTGTCCCGGGCCATGCCCCAAGGCAGCGCCAGGTCTGACGCGTGTCCTCTCTCCCCCAGAACTGGTCCTGCTCGCTCATCGTGGCCTCTCTGGTGGGCGCCTTCGGCTCCTCCTTCCTGTACGGCTACAACCTGTCGGTGGTGAACGCTCCCACGCCGGTGAGTGCCCGCGCCGGGCGCCAGAGGGCGCTGCGGCCATGCTGACCGCTGACTGGCTGCTGGCAAGTGGTCAGGTAACACATCAGGGAGCCCCTCCTTTCTGCACCTGGCCCTGGGCTCAGAGCTGGGGACAGGGAGAATGAGAGAGCTGGGGATCCTGGGGCTCAGGCTGCCTCATATACACTGGACGTTGTGGGCAGTTCCCAGGGGCTGAAGTATGGGTGTCCTGGGGGGGTGTGAAGGTGAGATGCCAGGGCAGGGAACAGGGGGTCAGCCCTGTGGGCAGCAGGGAGCCACCCAGAGGCTTCATGCGCAGAAGTGTGTGTGTGTGTGTGTGTGTGTGTGTGTGTGTGTGTGACTGTGACTCACAGTGACCCCTCCATATCAGGTTAGAATTGTGCTTCCTGGGATTTTCAATGGCAGGGACCTTTCAGACTTAGATCGCCAGGCCTTTCTTCTGAGCTGCTTCTGGGCGGACTCCAACCTCCAGCTCTTCCGTTTGTAGCTTAAGCGTGTTGACTCAGTATCACCATGGGAGCGCACACACACACAAATACACACCCTACTCGCCATGGCTGGCGTGTCAACTCTGACTCGTGGGGGCCCCATGGGTGGGTTAGAGCAGAACTGCCCCATAGGGGTCTCTTGTTGTGAGGCGCCATCGCGTCAGTTCTGACCCATAGTGACCCTGCGCACAACAGACTGAAGCACTGTCCTGTCCGGCGCCGTCTTACAATCACTGTTCGAATCCATCTTAGAGAGGGTCACTGCCCCTGCACGTTATCAAGCACGATGTCCTTCTCCAGGAACTGGTCTCTCCTGACAACATGTCCATGCTAGGTGAGACCCAGTCTCGCCATCCTTGCCTCTAGGGAGCACTCTGGCCAGACTTCTTCCAGGACGCATTGCTCTGTCCCTGGTACTTTCAGTAGTCTTCTTCAGCACCGCCATGCAAACGCTTCAATTCTCCTTCAAGCTTCCATGCTCATTCAGCATCCAGCCGCTACACACCTGAGAGGTGACTGGCAAGGTCATGGCTTGGGCCAGGCGCGCCTGGTGCTCCAAGGACTGAGGGGCATCCTTGCTCTTCAGCATTGTCAAGGGGTCTTACGCAGCAGATTTATCCAGTGCATTGTGTGTTTTGACCTCTTGACTGCTGCTTCCATGAACATCGATTGTGGATTCACGCAACTTCGACTTTGTCTCCATTTATCACGATGTTGCCTGTTGGTCCAGTTGTGAGGATCTTGGTCTTCCTTACACTGAGTTGTCATCCATATCGAAGGCTGCCATCCTTGATCTTCGTCAGCAAGGGCTTCAGGGCTTCCTCACTCTCACAAGCCAGGCTGTGTCATCTGCATATGTTGTTAGGAAGCCTTCTTCCAACCCCGATGCTGTACTCTTCTCCACCTCATCCAGCGTCTCAGATGATTTGCTCAGCATCCGGATTGAACACCTGTGCTGAGAGGATACAGTCTTGCTTGCTATGACATAGCTTTCAGCAACACAGTAACACACACGCCACCGCAGTGCGACAAACTGACAGACCAGCGGGGGGACCTTGCACTTAGCAGCCCCGTGTCTAACCCTCACAGATACTGAGGCTCAACCATGGCTGAAGACCATCCCAAGTCACAGGCGAGGCACCTGAAGCTCAAGGTAGACACACCAGCTGGCAGGGTGACACAGCGCCTGGCTTCAATGCCTGGAGGGCTGGCCCTGCAGTCTCCTCCCACCCGTTCTGGCTGAGGACCAGAGGCGGCTCGTAGAACCAAAGCTTCCCCGTTGGAAGGAACCCCAGAGAGGATCCACCTCAGTCTTCTCATTTTACAGTTGGGAACCTGAGCCCAAGGGCAGAGCGACCTGGCACACAGGGCAGAGTGACTCCTTTGCTCTCTGCCTGGGGCTCCTACTGGACCAGGCCCTTGCAGGTCCTTTGCCAGGTGAGTTCCCTGGATCACTTTTCCCTGCTCCATTTGCTTCTCATGGGAACAAGGGGACAGTGGGGCCTGTCTGTTGTCATCTCCTCTCCCGGAGAGCAGGGATAGGAACCGTCCTGTTGTGAAAGCCCCGCCCTTTTCTTGGAGGCTGCCTGACATCATCAGGTCAGTGTCTGCACACCTGCACGCTGAAAGGATGGACGCCTGGGCAGCTGCCTCCTGCCTTCCTATAGCCTGGCTCCTCCTCTCCTGTGTTTCCTGAGCCTCGGCACCATGGCGATGTTGCGTGGGCTTTGAGCTTCCAGAAGAGTCCGCACATCAGTCTTAGAAGAAACACAACCAGTTTGCTCCCTAGAAGGGAGGGTGGTGAGATTTGGGCTCACTTACTTTGGATGCATGATCGGGAATGACTGATCCCTAGGAAGGACACCCCTTGTGGACCAGAGTGGGTCAGTCAGAGCAAGGGAAACCCTAGATGAGATGGGTGGGCACACAGCCACAACAAGGGACTCGTACATGCCAACCACCATGAAGATGGGGCAGGACCGGGCAGCCTTCTGTTCTGCTAGTCAGAAGGTCGCCATGAGCTCACACCTCTGGTGGCAACTGGCAAAACATCCTCCTTCCGGCTACTCTCACAGTGTGTCTGCCTCGTTTACATCCTGTTGCTGGGGGCTGGGGGTTGAAAGGAGACTGGGATACATGTCTTTGAGGGGTCCTCAGAGCAGCAGCAGTGGCAGACACCCCCACATAATGAGACAGACAGACTTGTGTGGAGAAACAAGTGCAGGTCTATGGATGAAGACGGACTTTGCTTAGGGAGATCAGAGGAGCTTCCCTGAAGGAGCTAAGGGCACCTGGGAATGGTGATTTTCTGGGGTGTAGGAAGAGACTGGAGAGGTGCCAGGGCCAGCTCGAGAAAGGTCCTAATTCCAGAACCTGAGTATGGACCCAGACTGGCCTGTCTGCAAGGAGGCTGAGCAAGGCCCACCCTGAGAGCCTTCCAAGGATGGCAGCCATATCGAGCTGGAGCCAGGCTGGCCACCTGGGGATCCCAGTCTGTGATGATCAATGCTAAGTGTCAACTTCCCTGGGCTGTGGTTCTCAGTGGTTTCATAGACACTATATCATCATCCTCCATTCTGTCATCAGACGCGAGCAGCCAATCCGTTGAGAGGAGGGTTTCTTTTTTTCTTTTTTTAAAATCATTTTATTAGGGGCTCATAGAACTCTTATCACAATCCATACATGCATCAATTGTGTAAAGCACATTTGTACATTCATTGCCTTCGTCATTCTCAAAACACTTGCTCTCCACTTAAGCCCCTGGCATCAGCTCCTCATAACCCCCTCCCTCCCTGTGCCCCACCCCCTTCCTCCTCCCTCTCCCTCATGAACCCTTGATAATTTATAAATTATTATTTTGTCATATCTTACACTGTCCGACATCTCCCTTCACCCACTTTTCTGTTGTCCATCCCCCAGGGAGGAGGTTATATGTAGATCCTTGTAATTGGTTCCCCCTTTCCACCCCACTTCCACCCCACTCTCCTGGTATCGCCACTCTCACTACTGGTCCTGAAGGGATCATCCACCCTGGATTTCCTGTGTTTCCAGTTCCTATCTGTACCAGTGTTCATCCTCTGGTCTAGCCATATTTGTAAGGTAGAATTGGGATCATGATAGTGGGGGAGGGGGGAAGCATTTAGGAACTAGAGGAAAGTTGTATGTTTCATCGTTGCTACACTGCACCCCGACTGGCTCATCTCCTCCCCGCGACTCTTCCATAAGGGGATGTCCAATTGCCTACAGATGGGCTTTGCGTGATGATGCCTGTTACCTGGTCCCTTCGACACCTCGTGGTCGCACAGACTGGTATGCTTCTTCCACGTGGGCTTTGTTGCTTCTGAGCTAGATGGCCGCTTGTTTATCTTCAAGCATTTAAGACCTCAGATGCTATATCTTTTGATAGCTGGGCACCATCAGCTTTCTTCACTACATTTGCTTATGCACCTGCTTTGTCTTCAGTGATTGTGTCGGGAAGGTGAGCATCATGGAATGCCAGTTTAATAGGACAAAGTATTCTTGCATTGAGGGAGTACTTGAATGGAGGCCCAATGTCCATCTGCTACTTTGATACTAAACCTATAAATATATGCACATAGATCTAGTTCCACATCCTCATAGATAAATATACTTACATATGTACTTGCCTTTATTTAGACCTCTATAAATGCCCTTTGCCTCCTAGCTCTTTGGGAGGAGGGCTTCTTTGGGACTGCGTCCTACATCCAGTGGGTATGGGTGTTCTGGAAAAGCTTGCTCTTTCTCTCACCTGCGCCTGACTCATCACAGTCTGACCTCAGTTGTTGGATGTGAGCCAGCAGCCTGTCACCTGACCTGCAGAATTTAGATCCTCCAGCTCCTGTAGCCCTGTGAGCCAGCAGCCTGTTGCCTGACAGGCCATTTTTTAGTTCATCTGCCAAGGCACCACTTGAATCAAGAAAAGCCTCTCACTTGTCACTGGACCCACAAATGGAACTTACCATCTTTTACCATTACATGAATTGAGTCATTTCCTTGAAATCACTCTCTCTTGATGTGTGAGTCCAGGTAGATATCACAGAGATATCTATATATTATATATGATGATATAATATACATGGAAGACTGGAAAGAAGGACCCATGATCTACTTCTGAAAAAAATTGGCTGGTGAAACCTTATGGCTTTGGAGAACACTGTTGGATCCAGTGTCAAAAGATGAGCCCTTCCTCCAAGGGGAAGGCTCTGAGATATGACAGGGGGGGAGCTGACCCCTCAAAGTAGAGCTGACCTTACTGACTTGGATCTACCTGCATTTGATGATGGAACATGACTCAAAATGAGGAGAAACAGCTGCAAACATCCATGAGTAACCAGACAGTGGGATGTACAAAGTATGAATCTAGGAAAATTGGAAATCATCAACAATGAAACAGAACACATAAAGATTGTTATCCTGGGCACCAGTGACTGGAAGAGACACATAGTTATGCCCGTTCCACAGAAAGGTGACCCA